AACGAAAGTATGTGACCCGGCCCATCGGGATGGCACACGCTATTATTGTGATTATTTTCGATGATATTGTCGACAGGCAAACGAAAATTATGATCTCATAATATAATGTACCAATTTATCTAAATGTGATTTTAATTGATCCCGAAGCTATTATATTCCATTTTGGATTTATAGTTTCAATATAACTTGAAAAGTGAAAGATTAAAGATTACAGTAACAATGAAAGTGCTTCTCGTACTTTTCAATCTTCACTCCGAACATCATAATCATTTATCAAAAAAAATTATTATTATTATTGTCTGATTTTCATCGCCATGGCCCATCTCATTCATTTACGGATTAAAGCCAAGTGGTGATTTTAGTATGTTCTTACGGTTTATTTTGCGAATAAGTGTTTTTGTGTTTATGATGGAAAGGGGTCGTCAAAGCCAAAGCAAAAGCCAATATTCACCATTTCACTCGTTGAAATCTCTGATTTCTTTACTCCACTACTCTCTCGCTCTCTACCTCATTCCACAAAATGTTTGTTGGAAAATGGAAAGAATAGCGAAATTCGAGCACCACACCAAAAATCGCTTACTCATAGACATTTGTGAAATTCACGCGGCAAAATGAATTATACGAAGAAAATTTATTTCCATCGAAAATGTTCTCATTAACTGGAAGGGAGCTCCTTGCCGCATTTTCAACTCCACGCTCTTATCGTGATGTAATATGATAAAAAAAAGCCCTCATTGCATTTTACGTTATGCTAGAATTTTGTATGAGTCTGCTTGAGATTCATCTTCTGAATCTCTTAACAGAAGTCGTACTTTTTGTTAGTTTGATTTGAACGCTTCAAGTATTCAAGCTGAAGGATTGGTTTTTGGGACCAGCAAATACAATTACCGAAAAAGAACGAATTGAAATGATTTGGTTCAACTTAACTTTGAGAGACAACATGGAACGAAAGAAAGAAGAAACGAACAGACGGACGGACGGAAGAACTGCACGAAACTTGAAATTAATAATAATTTTTGCTCATTTGCTTTTGTGAGTTTTATGTGATATTTATTTAGGCTGTCATTTTCATCATAGAAATATAAACAGAGGTATGCCCGCAGCCCACACCACAAAAGAATATTTAATAGCAACGAAAAAAAAATTTGTCGAGCCATATTATTTTCAGGAAAAGTGAATTATATTCTGTTTTTGGAGGTCGAATCACTTGACTATTTTTTCCCGACCGAAACAGTAGTCCATGCCATGCTATGCATGTATTAGAAGCTAAATCTCCTTTTTAGTATGTCTTTTTAGTCGTTGCCATTCTAACTGCCACAGGATATACTATATATATTGTAAAGTTTATGGGTTCTATTGACTCGTTGGTGTGCGTTTGTAAGTAATAAAAACATTTGCCACATCTTTTTTCCGTTTGACACACTCGAGTATCCCACTTTATCGAGTATCCCATCTTATTTAATTCGTCTTTTACGAACCTATTTTCAATTTCGAATATAATTAACAACTTCTTGTCTGTGTGGCACAGACTAAATATTGGTTGAGGAGAGGCGATTTTGTGTAATTATTGAGATTTTTTTTTTTAATTTCGAAAAGGGAAAGAGAGGAAATTTGATAAAAAGCGGCAACGTATTGTTAATATGATTATGAAGATTATCTTAATGTGAAAGTCACACACCGAACCAAAGTGGATAGGAAACGCCAATTGGCTTACTGTTTTTCCGTTTTTTTTTTTTATCGAAGGGCATGAAATTATTTGTATTTTCACCGAATATGGCGTAAACATACTGGTCGATAGGTCATCCATAGGTTTCATTGGAAGAGTGTGAAGAGACAATAAATGAAAAAGTCCACAATCAAATTGGCACCATCGCATTTTGAAACAGTCACATCCCATTCACTTTCAAATATAATGAAATGATCGGCTCACTGAAATTCCAACGTTTTTTTCCCCTCCATTTGATCAACTTTCATTGAAAAACATTTTATCTTTTATCTTGGCTCCAATACCACTCATATAGATCAAAAACGTGTTGAAATTTTTCACACTTATTTAATTTAACAAACAATGATGATGATAATAACAATAAAAATAATAATTTCGGTGATAAAATCTCTGCTTTTGTTACTCCAATAGAGAAAATGTTGTTGAAATTTAGAGTGTGACACATACATTCATGAAAAAAAAGCTCTCTCCCAATGAAACGAAACGAAATGGTTTGCAACATGGCAGCACGAAGTATATACAACACTTTTAATGAAGTGCATATTATTCGAAAAAGATTCATTTAGATCCATGGCACGAAGTATCGGCAATTTGGAACACATGTACGTATACCGAACGGTAATGTGATATAATCGTTATGCCCATGTTTCTTATGGTGTGGCGCTCACTCTGTTTTTTTTTCTCTGCTGCTCTTGTTGTTCCCATCATTCTCTCTGCTCGGACAAACATACATACACAATGTTTAAAATAACCGTTTGGCACGTAAATGACATCATCCATGTGGAATATTTTGTGTTGGTTGTGCATATATCTCGTGTTTTTCCCCGACGGTGTCCGCAATTTAATTAAAATATTTTCATGCCACATTTTGTTTGCGTTCTACCTCTGTCAACACCAAACAATACAGATTGCAATAAAAGTGAACAAATCCACGTTTTTATCTTATTTTTATTTTCTCCCGTTGCCTCCTAGATTTTTCGTGTAGTGAGTTCGTATTCAAATTTACAGGAAAAGTATCCATTTGCATTTATAAAGCATGATATGGTATATATTTGCTAAATATGTTTTTTTTTTTTTTAAACATTGGCATTTCGATATCGAACAGCGAACGAATAAAGAGGAGAGAGAAAAAATCGAACACGATCCAATGGAAACCGATGAACAGACAAGCTGATGACATAATTTGGCTCACAATTTAGCATTATATAGTGCTAACTTTATTTGATCCAATTTGAACACAGACCACATAAAATAAAAAAGCGCCCATATTTGTACAAATGAATATAAATATAGTTCCGACATTGTTCAAAATGAACGAGGTACACAATTACATATGTTATGTCAATAAAATACGTTGTAATAAAGTCACAAGAGCCACGCGACGCATGCTAAATCGTTAGCTCCAGCTGAGAAATGCGAAGGAGAGAGAGAGGAGAAAGATAGAAACGAAATAGAAAAAGAAGCCCTTAATGTTCATTCAACAAAAGCGTATTGTATACACACATAAACACTCTCTCACACACACACACTTTAATTTCGGTTATTTCACAGCTTTATCACACATTTTTCCTCTCTGTCACACTCCTTAATTTCGCGCACAATTCATGAAAATCACCATTACGACACAATTCACCATTTTCCGATGTGCTATTACATAAAATAAATAAACATTAAACGTAATTTATATTCAGATCTTGTGCTAATTCACATTTTACTTTTGCCACTACAATTCAAGTTCGTAAGTGTAATACACATTATAGATTATATGTGTGTGACGTGATAAGCCGTAGTGTGGACATTGTACACTACACAAACACACTTTAGTGCGTTGATCGTTACAAGATGGTGATTATGAGGCACTAGGCGAAAGCAGCAAATGCAATGATGAATGTACCAAATGGAGGTAGACAAAAGCCCAAAGTAGCATAATTCCTCGCTATTCGTTTATTTACAGAGATGAAAAGTGGTTTGTTCAGAAAAAAAGCGAAACAAAAATCGTTCGAAAATCACTTGGCCATCTTTTTCATGCCAATGTCTAATTGAATGGATTTTTGGTGAAAATAAAATGAGCACTTGATACCATTGTATAATACTTTGTCGACGTAATTCCAGACGATGGCATGACCTTTATCACAGACATGATCTGTTCCATTATTATTTGACCGTACATTCTTTTCATTCCTCTTACCTCTCTTTCTCGCTCACTCATTCTCTATCATTTTTATCGGGATTGTCTGGCACTTTTGTCACTTTAGTTTGCACTTGATCATTGGAAAACTTCATTCTTATTTTCTTTTGTCCGTCGACAATTTGTGATCTGAATGCCAAAATGTTCTTTAGTTTTATTGGTTTTTTTTTTCTCATTAATTTACTTTGTTTCTCACATAGCCTATTCGATTATGGACCGACTACAATCGATAATGAAAAGTGAAAATAAATCCAGCTTCTTCGTAAACTTTCTACATATCGAATTAATTTGACTTTATTTTTGAATTGCTGTGTATTTTACCGCATGCGGTTCAAGTTCCACTCAGAGTATATTTTCTTGCGAGAAATTTGCACGTACTTTGTTCAAATTTAAAGTAATTTGTGAAAAAAAAAAAACATTTTCAAATCATTGTAATAGTTTCTTATTAGTTCATTTTAAAGTTTGGTCTAAAGTTCGTTCTTTATTTATTTATCTAGTTATTCAGTCATTGAAAGATATAGGAGCATCCATGTGATATGTATATCCGAATTGAACAACTTTGAAAATTCATTATTTCAATGACGGAAATCAGTTTTATATATACACGCACAGCATATTCGGACTGATATTAGTGACTGTTGGAATGTCAAGTTTATTATAACCTTAGTGTCCGTGGACATTTTTTTAAAATTGAACATCTAATAACACTTCCTTAACAAAAAAAGTACTTAAAGGTTTAGCAATGAAAATCCATATGAACTTTTCCATTTTTAATGGGATTTGGACAGGGCGACGGTCCGAGTTGATTACAATAAAGAGATATGAACGAAAGCGTTATTCAACACGGCGAAATTAGTGTCATTAGTCTGAATATTATTTTCATATGTGCAATGTGTACTGTAATCTACATATAAAATTGGAAGTAAATGGGCAATTTCTCCAGCTATTGTGAATGTCACATGCATTTCCAAATGGTTGATATAGTTATAAGAAAAGAAACTGAGCGCACAATGAGACGCACATTTGGAAGTGACATGAAAGACTAATATTTTTTTATCATTTACGTTTACTTTATTCAAAATACAGATCTCTTGTAAAATTGGCCAGACGACTATTTGCAACGGATAAGAAAGTAAATACTGAATATTACTGGTTTACGGAAAACCCGCTAAAACGGAGTCCGACAAGAGTCAAATTGTGGGAATATTAAAATATCTGTTCGCTCATTTCGAGAAAAGGTAAGTCGATGTCGAAACTTTTTTTTTCTCCAAGCCTGACTTGTGCAAATGATGACGAAACAAAATGTTTTCGCTTCGCGTACTATGTTCCTTATGCAATTCGTAAATCTTTTTTTTTTGGGGTTTTATCTCTTTTTCTTTTTGTTTAATTACCAGTGTGTTTTCTATAATTCAAAGTTGTTGGAGATGTTTCTATAACAGCTTATCGGATGAAAAAAATAAAGTTAGGCAAATTACGGGCTATGAAAATGTTCGAGCCCAGTTATGAAAAGGAAATTCATTTTACAATCAAATCATTAGCAGCAAAAACTTACTTTGCGGATACTCCGTTCACAATCCCCTCACAATTGTTGACTGTATCCCACAACCGCTCCAGTCTTTTTGTCATCGTTCATTGTCATTTCGAAAGCTCATCCATTTCGGTTATATATTATAGCTTACAATCAGTGATTGTCAATCACAGATAAAATACGCCGAATTCGTTTCTATTTAGGTCATTTTGTACATATAAATTGTCAAAAGTTAAACGTGGAAACAATTAACAATTTTAACTGAAACAATATTATCTTAATTTTAATGGATACCGGATGGGGTGTATTGCACTGTTGATAGCAAACGTAGTGTAAATGGCTTAGCGCGGTACACCGAAAACGATAACGAAAACGAATTCGAATGTTCGTGTTGGAGGCAGAGAGAGAGAGAGAGAGAGAGAGAGAGAGAGAGAGAGAGAGAGAATGAGAGAGAAAGTGCAAGGAAAAGAGCTTAAATATTTCACAAATAGTTTGGCACTATTGTGCTGTTATATAATCCGGTATTATTGTTATTATATGCTTCCTTTTCGTTTCACATTTCATTTCCTCTCCAGTCGACGACAACGACATTCGCTGCAATACTTTTCGAATGAATGTTCCATTCTTGGCAGATGCTTTGAATGTTCTTATTGCAAATTTGAATGTGACATTTATTCTATTTCACTCTTTTCTTCATTAATACACTGAAAAACATTTCATTGTCAAATTTTCAACCAACATACTGAGAATTGGAAGTGGAATTGGTTAAAGACACAAATAACCTGAAGACAATGCTTGAAAAGTTGCAATTTGTCCAATTTTCATTCGAAATCAACAACTATCAATTTCAGTATGAACTTTTACAGTCAAATTTTCATCAGTGTATTCACACTTTTTCGCTCGTTTCTTATTATAGTTATTCAATTTTGGATGGCAGTGAGAGGGGGTGAGATAAAATCACAAATTAGCAACATTGTTCATTCATGGCGCTGAATTTGATATCGATTTATGTTGACGATCTCATTGCGAAAACTTTCGATTTACTATTTAAACAGAAGAGCAATGTAATGTTTCACCGAAAAACGATGAATGAACATTAGTGGATAAATATTTAATTAACGTAACATTTTGACGTTTCTGTATTCGTTCTGTAATTTTTACGACTTTTTTTTTGTAATAATACCGGAAAATTTATGTATATTTTCATACAATTTATTTTTGAATTTTGATGTTAGCTGCGATTTCTGTATCGATATCATCAATTTATAGCGTATGCTGAAATCATACATTTTTGGGAACAATTTTTCTTTCAAAGCGACCTTGAGATTTAAGGAAGGCTCGGGATGCCGAGCTCACATTTAAGGGTACCAAGTTGCCCATTGTCATTACATACTCAGTTCTAGTGGAACATTTTAACCTAAAAGGGCACGTGCTCAAATTTAGCTTTTTTGGTGATTTTAACCCATGGGTAATAGATGGCACCTGTATAAAGACATCTTTTACTATGCTTCGAGGCTACGTCAAAATCAATTTTCATTCTATGTCAGTTCTAATGAATTTTTAATTTTCACACTTTGTTCATGTACAGAAAAGTATTAAATATTTTGTTTTGCGTTGGTTATTTATTATTATTTTTTGTGGTTTGTAAGCACGAAGACTAAAAATGATGAAATAGCATATGATGTGCATTAAAATTATGAAAAAAGACAAGTGTCACCAATTTCATCATATCAATTATGCTTCATCAGAATTTGTTGTTGACAGAGCAATTATGGAATGATTTAAAGATATAATAATAATTTATCAATATGAATTAAATATGAGATTGAAATAAAATGAAAACATTCGCGGTCACATTCAGCTGATGAGTGATTATGGCAACGATATTAATAATGATATGTACTTGTTCAGTTTATGTGATAGAAAACAACAACAATAACGTGTAAATGAACATAAATGATAAGTGGGGTTTTGACGCATCTGTTTGTTTATTTCGTTTTTTTTTTCTCATCTCGTTTTTGCCATAACACTCGATACCACAGTAAATATATGGCGAAAATGGTTATGTTAAGTCAAATCGAAAAGTCTGCATATGATCCTCTGTTTCTCACTCTTTTGTATCGTCGTCTCTGTCTACCCATCATCATTATTATCACTGAAGCGAGGTGGAGTAGCGATGTCCCATCTCAGTGTGACGACAAGCCAACATTTATCATCAAATAGACCAACATGCACTCAATTATGTTGATTTAACGTCAATAAAGCGATTGCTGGCAATATTGGCAAGCGATACAAATATACTCTCCGCAATTGCAACCCCATAGTCATATTCGCACACATGTATTGTACATCTATGTACAGTACGTACAGTGTACACACATATTGCCACATTTGATATGCTAAAGAGCCCTAGCGCTCTTACACGTTTAACCACAGACTGAATATAAAATTGGATCGAACGTGGTGTGCAACACCCACTTGCATTTATAAATATATATATACACACATATATAAGGCGCGCAACGCTTTCAAATGCGAACTCATTTAAGTATGATGCACGTCCTTTAATGCGACATCGATTGGCTGCTTTCAAGTTGAAATCAGCTATTGTCCATCATCATTGCCTCTCACACATATCTATATGCGATTCCGTTGATTGAAACACTTGAAAAATCGGTGAACCACTTAATTCGCATTCAACTGAAAATGCTTTTTTCCCACTTCTGCTTGAATACATGGAACTTGAAGTAACGACGATCAACTTTGATGTGGATTAGATTCGAGAAAAAAAAACAGACTTATCTCATACGATTCATACGGAAAATTGTAAAACGAATAAGATTGATTATTCACAATGATTGAAAAATATCCATGTTGTAGCATTGTTGTTAGTTTTAATTTTACCCCTTCCGTTGCAAAAGTGTTTTGTAAATATTTCATTTTTCTAATGATAGGTGGTGGCCAATTTTGAACTATTCAAGTATTATTTAAAGAAGAGTTTTGGTCTCGTCAATTACGTTCTTTTCTTGATATCAAATTAAAAGTTAAGTAGTATTCTTTGGATCGCATTAATTTCAATGAGCTAATCTATTTAGATTTGATTTGCTGGCAATTTATTGTACTAATTCCACAAGAAATTGATTTTGATTTAATTGTCGCCAGTAATCCACCACACCTACGAACCATTTGATGAAGTTGTTTGTCATTGAATCGGCACACCATAATTTGGTCAAACGAATAGCGAACAATACAAATTGCAGATCGGTGAAACAGTGTAATTTGATAAGAATTTAAGTTAACGGCAAATGGAATGTTCACATGATGCATGGGCAAAAAGCTCAAATTAAATATAGATGGACATAAGATTATAGAATGTATTCCAAATTGAAAGTGGTTAATAAATGATTTTGTGACTATCCCCAGTCAGAGGGACAATTATATTTAGATTCACGCCCTCACACATTCCAAGCGTAGAAATATAATTCTAATGATTTTTGCTATGATGATCGCAAACATACCAACCCTGAAAAAATATTTACTCGTTGAAATAATTTCGTAATTATTTTTGATATTTCCACGACATTTCCAAAAATTCAAAGGAAACTATTCAAATCAATGTAGAAATGAAGAAAAGACAATCAAAAGATTGATTATCATAAAAGATAAAAATATAGCGATCAAAATTATGATTTTCTCCACAGACGACAAGCAAAAAAACCAAAAAAGTAAACTCTTAAGCAATTTATAAAACGGATAAATGCTAGGTTTTGTTTAGGCTAAAAGTCCAACTTGATTTATTTGGATTTTCATATTCAATTTTGATGAAACATATTAACATTTTGAGTAGATGTTTACCATATTGAAGTAATTTTATGTAGTATCGCAGTGAATGTTTTCGACGTCGTTCGTTATTCTTGAGGCATCCATTTCTAAAAACGAATGTAAAAGGCATACTTCGAAGGATAGCGAAGGACGTTTGGGAATTATGTTGATCATGCGGATGATAGGCAATTCGAAAACATAACATACACGTGGCTCGCAATTGGCGCACACCAATCGAGCATGGAAAAGTACGACAGAGAGCAAAATAAATGAGTGAGAAAAATGTGAGAAAAACGAATAACAATAAAATGTTGAATATCTGACATTCTAAACATTGTTAAGGTTGATGATGGTTGAAATGGTATATCTAACTAAATGTGTAAATCATGAAGGCGTCTATTCATCATTCAATTTTATGTACATTGTACATTGATTTTACTTTGAAAAATTGCTGTGAAAATCTGTGTTCTATCGCTTTCTATGTTTGCCTTAATATGGAACAGTTCTGTCTATGATGTGCTAGATTCCTCGCCATTCTTCTTTTTCGTTCATCCAAACAAAGCAATCTGCATAAATAAATTTTAATGATTTATCTACTTATCTATGGAGACACTGACTGACGCGTGGCAATGGCTCAAGCATTTATTTTATTTATTTGTACTTTCCATCCACTCCTCCGCCGTCTTGTCGCTCGTTCGTTGGCTCATGTCACTATTATCATCATCATTCTCCTCTTCGCTTTCTCTCTCTCTCTCTACCGTCTCAAATTTATATAATCTGAATGTTTTAATTTCGCACATACCGGACTTTTTTTCATATATATAAAATGAATCAAGTATTTGTGATGTTTTGAAGACAATCAGAAATTTGTTCAACTTTTCATGAAGA